GAGGTGACCGAGTTTCGAGCTTCCCAGTCGGTTCGCGTTATCCCTCCTCCGCGCCTTGCCAACCTGCCGTGGTATCGAGTTCTTTAGCGGTATACACCCGCCGCGTTGCGAGGAAATAATCTTGACTGTGCAGCGCCGAGAGCGGCCCCGTCCTCTCCCCGATGACCCAGCTCACGTCCGCGGACGTGCAATCGTTTCTTCGCTAATGCCGCATCCCGTTCACGTAAGGGAATTTCGATATACCGAACGTAACCGTCAGGTGCGGGATATCCGCGAATAGTAAGAAGCGTCGCCGACGCGCCCGCTTCGGACGAGTTCCGATCGAGACGAATTCACGGAGGCGCGCGAATATTTCGTGTCCGTGTCACGGGCGGCAACGAATAGGAGCGTCGTCGGTTCGGCGTACATACGAATGTTCGCGCTTAGGCGCGATAGCCGAAGTAAGTCGCAACTGCAATTAAATTCGGGAGGAGCGCAGAAAGCGCACGTGAGCGGAGCGCTCGAGTGCGGGCACGTGACACGTTTGGGCTTTAATGGTCCGCTCAAAAGGGAGCGCTTTAAAGCCGAAGCTCGACCGGTATCGCTGTCATTGCTGTACCTTTTGGATTTTAATGTTATTCCGTATGTGCGCGCCGCGTTCGCGCTTTAGTCAATATTGAGAATTATCACATGTGTCAAACGGGAGCAACGACGGACGACGATTATAAATTATTGAATCGTTTTCTCTCTCTCTCTCTCTCTCTTTCTCCTATGATCGCTTTATTGAATACTGGTAATCGTGAGATTAAGAAAGATTGCTCCTTTACTTGGATTGATTGAACGAATATTTTTATAGGCTTTTAGGAGAAAAGCACGGATTTTTTAATGCTATCAGATATTAATTGTCAGTATTAATATGTATTGTGGCAGGATATGATACTTGAATATATGTTACTGTACGTCCGGAATATTTTCCGATCGGTGTACGTGGGGAATTTTACAATGTCAACTGTATCCTTCATTCCCGATTAATATATAATCCCCCAATTAACCCGGACCAGAAAATTATTATTTTAAATTTACACTTATTTATTTTAAATTTACAAACGTTGGGATTATATCTTCCCACGATGCATATTAACAATGTTAATGAATATTATGAATCTCGTCTCAGAGTTACGAAATTCAAAATGGCAGATCCAATATGGCGAATTTAGTAATTTTATCTTCAGTACGTTTTGTTACACACTATAATGGATTCTTTAGTATAGATTTAATAATTTCAACGTAATATTTGATTTCTCGAATTGAATTTTGTATTAATAACTTCAGATTTATAATGAGCGACCTCGAATGCCTTTTTAACAATACCAATTTTAATTTTACCCGTAACGGATTCCTCCGGGGGCACGAAAAAGGGCACGAGAAAGTTTGGTTCGTTCGTTCGCAGCAAACACCTGATACTCCAAGAACAAAAAATAGTACGTTGCGTGAAAACTAGAAAACCGAAATACGTTCGGCGGAGCGTCCACGAGTCGAAATATGGCAAGCTTAATATCTCTAACAGCGAGAAAAAAATCTGTGCTTTTAAAAGCCCACAAAAATTCTTCGCTTGATAAAACGCAATAATAATCGTGTAAAGTGCAGCGTGATATTGTCTTACGTTATCGTCGAGAGAGTCATTAATCGCGAACGAATCGGCTCGCCCGCCGAGTGTTCTCTACCGAAATATCCGGGCGCTGACTCGCGTCGATAATTGCTCATTAATAACGTAAGATAAAAGTGTGACACGGCGAAGCGTAACGGCGCGCGCAACGTCGACGTCGGGATAGAAGGGATTAAAACGGCGGCCCCACGTGAAATACGCTTACTATCTTGTTACAGTGTCAATCAAAGCGCGCGGCAATAAATCATCGGCATATCATGCCCGCGGATCAAACGCCGAAAACTCCACGCCGACGTTTATATGGCGCGCAGATAGCCGTCACAATATTATCTTGCCGCGAACCCGATAAATTTTCGTTACGCCTCCCCCCTCCCGCGCCTACTTCATGCGCGCGCGTAGAAATATTTATCGGCGCGAAATATATCGAAAATTCAATCGCGCCGGGAAGAGACACGTAATAAAGGAGCGGCCGGTCGACCGTCGTTCGGACCGAGACTCGCGGTAAAATCAAGCGGATATCGTTTGAATAGAGTGTACTCGCGCGCTCCTATTCGACCCCTTAAATTCAGCCCGTCCTCTCGGCCGTCGTCGCCGGCGTCCCCGGTCGTCCTCCTCGTCGTCGTTTCTGGCTTCCGTCTGGTACGTCGTGCGCGAGCTCTTATTAAAGGTGGCGATTTATCGCTAGTAATAACGGTGCGGTCTGGTGCTGCTTGGGCGGCGAATGTCTCCCGGAGGTTCCCGGGAAGAGAGCAAGAGACCTCGTAGAAGGGTGGGAAGAAGAGGTCGCGGAGGGCAGAAGCTGGAAAGTAAGGGTTTATTCGTAGTAACCCCCGAGGGATGTGTTGCGTCAGTGTGTGCGTTAACGCTCGCGCGTGTGCACGCGGACGCGTACGCCGAGGTAGATTAACAATTCCTGACATTTTAGTGGCGCTCCGGATGCGTTAACGCCGCTTCAAGTACCGGCGCGCTCGACTGTAACGAGCTCCAGGATTGATTAACCGCCCCTGTCGAGGCGACCCGCGACTACGGGGCTACGTGCTTCTAAGCAAACGAGACGACGGCCTGGCGAAAGATCCTCGGAACTTATAATTACCGCTTGATTAATTGCCGTTTTGACAGATAACTCGGAAACGGCGGGGATTTTTCACCGGGCCCGTCTTTCGTCGTCACTCGCGAGCCTCCGCGCGCCCATCGATTAATCTTCCCTCGAGATATATTGGACTATGTATATTAATTGACATCGATCTCCCGGTGAGTCGGTAGCTGCGTGGAAGATCGCGTGTGCAGTCGATCACAGGAAGGTTGCGACCTTGATTTTTTATCAGTTTTATAAGTCCCGGAACGCATCCCGTGTTCACTGTTCAACAGAAATACCCTATTTCCTTGTCCTGCGATTGACCGCGAATCTTCGTCGTTTCGAAGCCCGTGCTGGCCGACGGATTCGGCTGGCCCTGCCGAGTTAATGTTGTGTAACGCGAGACCACCCGCATCGTATAAACCTGAAGTAACGCGCGGAAACGTGGAAAACGCTCGACCGGAGGAATTATCCGAAGCAATCGATGTACAACCGGCGCCGGTACTCGGATTACAATCGGATACCCACCGACAGAGATATCAATCGGGAATTTGGAGTGGAACGCTCGCCGGAAGAAAATCCGAGCCGGCCGCGACGCATTCTAAGCGCGATCGACGGCGGCAGGTGCTTTCCCACGTTTTCGTTGGCGCTGGATCGAACGATGGATCGTTCGGCCGAGTTTAGGCGGCGCGTCGCTACTACCGCGTCGATGGCAAGAATGGGTCACCTGTTCAAGGGGTTAAGAAGACGAATAAGCATTATTCATATCTCGTGAACGCTGATCCTTAAGTTATTCATCTCATGAATTAGTAAACACGAGGAGAAGCTTCATGTGTGTGTGCGCGCGCGCGCACTCGTTCGCTCGCTCGCTCGCATCGGCCCATTTCTGGAAGGAAGCTTACTAGAATATTAAGTTCAAACGTTTCCCTTGTCTTTTCTCGCTCGCCTCTCCTCGCCAGAAGGCACTAATTTTAAGGTAAATAGATTCGAGGTAATTAATATTTGAGATAATGACCCGACGTAATTATTTCTAGCCAATTTGTGCGTTATTCTCCAATGTCTCTTCGTTTAAATTTCTATGTTTTTTTTTTAATTCTTTTACGTGTCAAGTTATCACAAAATATCCTATGAATTGCCCGGAGAAATGGATTTAAACACTGATTCTCTTAATTTCTCAGAACAACGCTGTTATATCGTACGAGGCAAAGATGAAATCTGACGGAACGTCGAACGTCCATACAATACGCGTCTCGTCTCCCTCGTTCTCTCGTATTTCCTTCCAATGAAATTTTCAAAGAACTTCCGAAGAAGTGGAAAAAGAGGGTCCCAACACTCCCTCCGCTCAGAATCGCACACCTCCTATCGCGGTTGTCGGTAATATTTAAAGGAAGGAGGAAATGACTTAGCGCGCGCGCGAGCCGAGAGTAACGGTTGCTGTTCGCGTCTCCCATCAGGGCATCGTCGAAACGGGCGCTTATAGGCTGGAAATAGATTACAAACGCAATATTTCAACCGTCGTAAATATTCCCCGTTGATGGCGGCGCCTTTCGCCGCCGTCGTCGTCGTGGTCGTCGTCGGTTCTCCGGCTCGTCTCACTTTGACGGACAGTTGCAACATTGCGATCTAATTGGGGTAAAAACAATTTTGTAGTAGCGCCCCTCCCTAATTGGTCGTTTGTCATCACGGATCGTCTCATGGTACTAATTATCACGGCATAAACCTTGGAATGTCGGACACTGGCATCACCGAACCCTTCGCGAACTGTGGAACGTCGTCGCGTTTGCCAAGCTACAAAACGCAAAATAATTCATACTTCACACATCTTTGTCCCGATTTGGCGTATTTCTCTGTTTAAATAAGGAATTTGGTTTTACCTTCTGAACTAGACGCAATTCCGACGTGCAATATCGATAGAAATATTTTTTTTCTTTTTTTTGAATAATGAATATAAAATTATAACATATCTTCTGGTTCTTCTATTTTGCTATGTTTGTCCATCCAATTATTCTATTAAGATATATGCTGCTGTTGAGATCTGTTGCGTCTGCAGTGCGATTAAAACGATGCCACTTATAATACTTTGCGGAACGCATTGTAGATAATATAAAATCTTATTTTTGAAATATATATTGTAGGAAGATGTTACTATATTGTGTAAAAACGTGTATATGTGTGTCTATAAGCGCGCTAAAATGATGACGAAACGCTGAAGAGTTATTAAGTATTGCATCCGCTAGTAAATTTCAATACATTCGTCGAAAATAATCAACGGCGTTGTATAAAAATACGTAAAACGTGTATAATTTGCAAAAATACGGCGATCATACGTATCATATCGCGTAATAACATGATTATTACTCAATGGCATGATGACGTCACGCGTGTAACGAGAACGACAAACTCTCTGAGATAGCATCTTCTTGTTTACGTAACATACAAATGAATTCACGTCTAAAAAAAACGTGTTTTCAGATAGACATTACGCGAAAATAGTCTCCTAATTTATGTCTTAGTTTCTTGTTGTCGTGGCCGTTGTTGCTCCTCAGCATCCCAATTTTCAACTTCCATGGGCGGGTAATTCCATTCTTGGATTTTTGCGGATCCGAAAACCGAAAATATCAGAAAAGCGAGCACTTGAGCAATGACGGTGATCCAAAAGACGTATCTCCAGCGCCCCATAGTGTGCTGCAGAAGCAGAGTGCAGTGGAAATATTAATATTATACTTATTGTCTTCCTAAGAGGACGATGATAGGCGGGAGCGTTATATCTTCAAATTGCCCGAACTTTCTTCAAAATGCATTGCAAAATTTGATATTTTCACGAAAAAAATACGAGAGGTATCGACTATAAAGAAATACGACTATCTCGATAGAACGTCGAATGGCGAACACAACACAACATCGAAAGTGTCATTCTCTAAAGACCTTAATACTGCAATAAAGTTAATTTCCCAGTTAATTACGTAATTAAAATGCAGTACCTCTTGGGGAAAATATTGGCTTAACTTTCTTATCGGCTTAAGGCCGTTCCACTCTTCGTAAAACTTGAGAAAAGTGGAACACTCCGTGCGCGGCTTATTAAGAATTCAAGAAATTGGCGATCACGTTCTCGTTCTTAGCCAAGATACTTCTCGCCTCCACATGTTATTAACGCTAGGTGAAAAGAAAAGGAAAACAAAAAATAACGTTTTCACTCACTCCTTCCTCCACGAGGGCGCCGACTATTGGTGGCAGGATAAAGGCAGAAATCGTGCCCGGTGTGTTTGTAATGCCCATGAGAATTCCTGCGTAATTCGGGGCCAGATCGTTCTGATTAGTGAGATGGCCGACGAATATAGCACCGCAGACTATTATGCTGAGAGTCAGCAGGACGGTAGACGTCACGCGAGCGCAACCAATGTATGCGATTATGAGCAGAAAGATGCTGGCAGGTATAGAACCTGGCGGAAAGAAAGACAAATAATACATGTACACACACATAGCAACAGGAATTGTATATAGGGTGACTTCTTTTAATTAACACGCTTGAATATTTCTTAAACAAAATGAGATATCGGAGATCTTGTTTTCTTAAGGTTGTACATAGTTACTAGGGGGATATAATTTAACAAAAGAAACTTAACCTTGCTGCTCTGTTAATCACGTCATGGTTTTCTAAACATAAATCGATTGCTTACGTTATTTTGCGCATACAAAAGAACTGCGAGAAGATCATTGGGAAATAAGGTTTAATCGGAAGTAGAGAAATAAATATTTATAACACTGATATTAAGAATAGAATAGAATATATTAAGAATAGATAGGAAGAAAATCAATCAAGCAAGGCGAGAATGACAATTGTAATATGCGTGTCATATTGATTTTAGTCACTGCTGAGGGAACAACGAGAGTTGAAAATGTAGCCTGCATTATTCGGTCGATCGCACGAATTACACGCGAAAAATTTGCAAGCATGCCTCATGTTTATTTAACCGGTATGTAAATGGTATCAGTTCAGGTTTGGCTCGAATATGCTTATCATATCCGCCGCTGTTACCTGGCGTCGGTGTAAAAAGACGTTATCTTCATTTTAACCAGATTAATTCATTAAAGGAAAGAGCAACGTGCGCGCGCGAGGAAGCTCCTTTGATATTAATTAAAAGAATATAAGCAGGACAGAGCGTATTTATCGTTAAAAACTACGAAGTATTTTAACGAAGGTATCTTCGACAGAAGTTCCGTTGTTTACAGAGAGTCGCTTGATGCAATATTTATGACTTATAACTCTGACCCGGATAAAAAAGAGAGAGAGAGAGAGAGAGAGAGAGAGGTCGCTTTATAAATTCTATTTCACACACGTACTTATGAACACCGCGATTTTACGGGCGATGGTCTGAGTCCAAAGTCCCCTTTTCCGTCCAGTATCTAATATTTTTCCAAGCATCGGATTAGTGAAGGCATTCACGAAGTACGGCGTGCAAGTAATAAGAGCATTCTGCAAAATAGATCGGGAACGGTTTGCATAGGGAAGTTGATACCTATTTCGTATGAATCCAGGTTACGCAGAATTCCACGAAACGTATGAAATAATTATCGTTTGTAGAAATCGCGCGTGAAATATAATTTTACTCATTATACATGTCGATTTCAATTAATATGTATATATTTTTTTTTATGTAAAACTTATTAAAGTACCATTTACAATCGGGTGTCTGAAATGATATCGATGGACGTCGCGTGTGTCTTGTCGTTATTAGTACTAATTATTACTACTTACCGCTTTAATGTCAAACCGCAATATTTTATTCATATAAAGCGGCATCTGAGTGAGCAGGAAGTACCAACCGAAGTTGCCCAAAGTATTGGTAGCGATCAGAGCCCAAAACGGCACCGACGTAAAGATGCTTTTCCATGGGACCTTCATCTTCGCGGTGCCGGGCGCGCGATGACCGTACGAGTTGACGACGAGTGATCTTTCATCCTCTGAGATATACTTCTGCTCCTCCGGCGAGTCTTCGAAGAATATGTAGAAAACAACGCACCAAATCAACGGTAGTATCCCGTGAATGTAAAAGATCGCCTCCCAGCCCAAAAAGTCCAATATCATTCCCGAGGTGAGAATAGATATCACCGTGCCGAGCGACGTGCCGGCGTATATGATGCCGACCCACATACTCTTCTCCTCGTAGACGACCCATTTTCCCACAAGAACGTTCACTATCGGCAGATTTGCCGCGCTCACTACGCCAGTCAAAAATCTCACAATGTACAGCGCGACCAGCGAGCTCGCCGTGACTGGCACCAAGATTGTTAAAAACGCGTTTCCCAACACGCAAATTAGCAATACCGTCTTCGTGTGGAATCTGCGTGGACAAGTAATTCAGAATTTTTGGCGGACGACATGAAGAATAAATCTTGTCTAGAGAGTAATATTTGCGGATGGATCAATTATTAATGCAACATTGCGAGTGGCTGAGGAACCTCAATTATCTTATCTATTTTAGTTCAATCGGGTCGCCACGTCAAATAAAAATCTGTTATCTAAAATGAAACGCTATCTATATCTCTGCGAAGAAAATATAAATAGGAATTAATCGCAACTCACCGGTCCGCACAGTAGCCCGCCGGAAACATACCAACGAGATATCCAGCGAAGTATATACTAACGACCAGACCTTGCTCTTTCGACGTCCAATCGAACGGTCCATCGATATCAGTGATGATATCAGCATCAGTCTCAAATTCTGGACACTCGTCCGACCAATCTGGTATACCGGGTTTCTTCTTCACCATACCGATGATAGCGGTCGCGATGTTCACTTTCAGACCGTAGATGATCATGTTCGCAATGCAGAGCATTATAGCGAACATGAATCGCACGTAACCCACTAAAAGCCGCGATCGGAAAACAGGAACGTTAAAAAGCCGGAACGGAATGTATCTAATAGAGGTATCTTGTGATCAAGCGGGATCGTTATATGGCGATTTTGAAATTTATAACAAAATTTTACTCGCCCTCGGCGCCACCGGTGCCAATTTCCGTTAAAAAATTATAAGATTATCACTGATAAAGCAGCGGTAAAAGCATTTTTGCTTTCGCCGCCGTGTTTTTAAGTAACCTATATGCGTTTATTAGCGAATTATCAGTCCGTAGATCAATGCATTAAACTGTATACAGATGATATAAATTAGTAACGCAGTGCGGGAGCAAATGCGTACCGTTATCTCAATAATTACTCGGGAAACCATGATAACGGATACGTGAAATAACACGTATTAAAAACGGAGCACAGTTTATTTGTTTAATTCGCATTAACCTAACGAATTACAATTTGTTTGTATTTTCGTGGGTGTATTCAAGAAAAAAATAGCGACGTTTGTACGTTCTCCGCGCGTGTGTACACAAAATGTAAGTCTGCAGCTAAACGCGTAAAAACGGTGTGCATGTATTATTTTTGCGATAAGTCTGGGAAATAACTCCGGACAAGTTCATGTGTAAATTCTCGTGTACAGATTACGTCATTGCGATATATGGGATGCGGTAACTAAAGACGTGAGATAGCCCTCTGATTGATAATAATGACAGGTCACGTTACGATTTTTAAATTTCACTTTTTCCTCTTAAACGGCATATCAGTTATATAACCAATAAACGAATGATAATGACAGAGAAGAGNGGGGGGGGGGGGAGAGAGAGAGAGAGAGAGGGGACAAATATAAATTTCCCTCAAAATGCATTCATTCATCGCAGAAACGTGTTCTTCGTGAATTGGTTAGGTGACAGAATGACCGGGACAGACGGGCGAAATGCAGGACGAGAGAGACGGTTCCTTACCCATTGCTCTGAATATTTATCGTACGATCTCGGTTAATAATTCGATGACGTAGATGACGTAGATCACATTTCGAATCGGCGTGCCGATCTCACTTGTTTCCGTATTATCGATACGATTTTCGAGCGGTTCTCACTTGAATTCCATTCGCCGACACATCCAGCAGGGCCGGAACACGACTATCGAATTATTGTTGACGTTGAGGAGCGACGTATGACAACAGATTCCTCCTCCTCTTCCTCCACGAGTATCTTGCCGCGCGGATACGCGCGTGTCGACGCCGAGTACACGCTCCTATCGACGCGAGATTACAGAGCGCAGTGCGAAAGAGAGGAGCGCCGTAGCTCGTTCATCTAAAGTACATTTTACTGCCTTACCCGAGACCGCTAATGAATATGCCGCGCTCGTCGTTGCTGACGATAACAGTTATGCGTCTTGTTCACGTCACGGAGTTGCGAGCTATCGCTGCGCGACGGAGCGAACAACAAATTCAGCAGTTCCGCGGCCGTAAGAGCGATACTTTCACACAGAAGAATATTGCACGACGACGGACTCGTCATCACACCCCGTGACTTGATTCACCTTGAACGTTTTTCGTCTCGGTGCTTTTTCCACGTGAACTTTGATTCCAAGTGTCTGCCAAGTGTACATACACGAGCGAGATAATGTCCCCACTCTCGGAATTCGCAGTGCAGTCGTTGGATTTATTTCGTAGACTATCTACAGGCTGAGATTTCGCAAGCATTACCCACAAATGTATTCCTCCCTCGTATCGCACACTTTATCAAAATACCAATTTAAAACACTGATAATGTTGATGGCCGCCGAATGCCGTCCCGCAGTTGTTCCGCTTATTCCATTTGAAAAGCCGTTAATTATTATCATTTATCTTTAATGAAAACGACAAAAACAAAGATTATTAGTTATTTCTGGGTAAAGACAAGTCGATTTTCAAATTAAGGAAAGAATGACCGCGAAGCTAAACGCAGCGCAATTTCGTTGCAAGGTGTAAGGTAATTTTTTGATGCAACAGCACACACGCGGAAAGAAGATGAGACGGACGAAACGCGCGATCAGAGAAAATACCCGCACACTTGGCGTGTGCAGTTATCGAACGGTATCTACCGGAAGCAGAATAAGAGAATTGCTCGGCAGTTGCGATACGAATTCAACAACGGCCGCACAGTTACTAAACCGCGTGGAAGCGGATGCGTTTTAACTTTCAGTAATTCGCACGTAAGTGGCGATTCCATAATATGTACAACACCGCGTGTCATATTTGCCACGTCATTACGAGCGAACACCGTCCGTGTGATGTATTATTATTATCTTTCGAAACATTATTACGCGCGTATTCATCTCTTATAGAACTTGCTTGGCACACGCACGCGGTGCTGCGATCGTATGCACATGTTCGATAAACCGGCCGATTCCTCCTCGTTTGCGATATGGAGATATACTAACGCATAAACCGACTACACAATATGCAGTCCCCGATAGTCCCCTCTAGTCAAGTTCAACTTTATAAATATACATTACTTCACTGGCGCGAATGAAATTTCAAAGACCGCGTCGGCCGCGCGCTGTATCTTTACAAGCGACTCTACTCGGACACGGAATGCCGTCGAGTTAGCGGTTGCACGGGTCACAGGCTGACGAAATCACTTTCCAAAACCAGTCCTCGCGATAACCCGTGTGCTCACGTCGCCACGATAATTAGAGGCACGACCCGTGTGCTCGTGTCTCGTTTACACAAACAAACACACATCGGCAGGCTCTCTCTCTCTCTCTTGTCTCGGCCAACAACGGTCTGGCGCGGCGCGCGAGGTCTTACTCGCGTGATGTCCAATGTGAATGTTCCACCCGTTATCTGCCGGTGGATTGCCGGCACGAAACCCGGTCTTTCCTCTCTCGTTGTAATACGGTGGCGCGATAGTATTCTTAACAGATATTCGTCGACGAGATGCCGCTTAATGTTTATGGGCTGAGGATAATGGAGTCCCCCCGGTGAGCCTGTGTCCAAACGGGTGAGAAACGTTCCAGAGCAGCTTCGGACTCCCCGCCGATCATGCCCGCCGTGGTCTTGTTTGTGTGTGTGTGTGTGTGTGTCCAACGGGATTGTAACGCCCACCAAATTATACCCGGCACGCACACGTCATCTTTTTCCGTCCACCAATTCGTGGTGATAAACTAAATGAGATTATACACATAGTAATTTGGCTGCAAGTATCTTTACGTATTATTTATTATTATTATATAACTCGTATATAACGCGCGTCGTGGAAATTATGTAAGTGAACGCATTCTTTACCTCAACGTCATTTTTTCCGTTGTAATATACTTTGTAGTACATGTATGTGATATTAGACTAAATTATATCATGACAAAACCTCACTTTGTCAGATATATATATATATATATGTGTTTATATTATATTTATAATTTATGTTTATGCAATAATTATTATGTTATATGCCTTATCTTTTGACTACCTCCTAATTGTGCAGATTAAATCGTGCGACGCGACGCGCTGCACTTATCACGTCGAAAGATATTTGTGGGGAATAATCTGTCAATTAAAGATTAACAGACGAACTAGACGTTATCATTAAGAGCGAACACTTTTGAGAAATATCAGAGAAAGACTAATGTGTCATATATTTTACATATTTTTGAATCAGCCTCTAACTGTATATATAAAGTTGCACTAACGCGCGGCACTTACCACGTCAAAAGCTATTTATAGAGGATAATTTTTCAGATAAAGACTGGCAAACGAGCTAGACGTTCCCACAAAGAGTGAACAATCTAAGGAAATTAATCTCAGGAAAAAATTAATATGTTTCATGTTTTACATATTTTCGTGGCGCTTTCTATATATTGTGAAAATCAAAGTTGCACTCGATGCGATAGACTACACTTACCACACCGAGAGATATTTGTGAATTATAAATAGCAAAATTAAGATTATCAGATGATGTTATCATAAAGAGCAAATATTCTTAAGGAAGAGTTGGAAAGAAATAACGTAAAGCAATAACGTAAATCCTTGAGCAAAGAATTACCTAACTCAAACTTTGATTTATTGTGTAAGCAAACTGTCGTACGCGAGCTGAATGCTATCGTACACACTGAGAGAAAAAAAGTATCTAAAAAATAAGAAATATTTTTTTGGTGAGCACTAATAATATATTTATTTATTTAAATCTAAATTCTTTATTTATAAATCGAATAAGCAACTATTTTCATACAAAATTATAGACTGGAAAAAAACGTACATTTTCTCATTTGAACAAATTTTTTCTCAATGTAAAAATACATATATATTGGTATAAATAAATATATTATTAGTACCCACCGAATAAATAATGTTTTATTTCTCAAATATTTTTTTTTCTCAGCGCACGCACGTTAGATTCATACCTTAGTTATACAGCCATCGTAGATACATGCGGTGAATATATATATTTATTTATTTCGCACAGATAACAAACATACGAGAACAAATACATATTATTTGTTATTTTGTATTCTCAGGGTCAATGTGTCCGCTCAAACACATCACTTCACACTTCATCAATAAACGAAGGATTGGACTTTACATCTGTGATAATTAATATTCAAACGATCGTTAAGTTCCACGGACGAAGCGTGAGCTTCTATAACGCCGCCGATAACTCGTGTTCCGACGGAACAGTTGGCATTTAAATATAGCTTAGCATATTTTCATGATAACGTTTGTATGAGTCGACCTATAAAGTCGCGATAACCCAGGTTTTACGTAACACACTTATCATCGGGACACGAGGCGCATAGCGAATGACCCAATGTCGTACAACCTCCTATCTGTTTCATACCCGAACGTTCGATTTCGGCGTAATTCGCGGCGGCCTCGACACTTGTTGGCGACACGGGAATTGCCGCGGCGAAACATTGTGTCGCGTCGTGCCGTTCCTTTTTTCCGTAAGAACCGCACGAGCGTCTGCATCGTCCGATGACCAATGGCGAACCGACAATAACAGCGCGAACACACCAGCGACCGTCACAATATTTTTATCCGGCCGCGGTCTCTTTCGTGCGGTAAGCATATGACAAGCGTGACGAAACGTTCGTAGAAACGAGAAGCGGACGGCCAGACGGAAGTGGTTGCCGCGGTATAGCCTCGTGACGAGGACGACGACAACGACGACGACGACAACGAGTGCGAGGACGACGAGGAAGCTTCGAGACGCACGAGTTGCCATCATCCTCGCGTCTCTTCTGGGCTTATTCGGCCCAGCGCACACCTGCATTCACATGCCGGGGTGAATGCTCGCGCATACCTGCTAGAGGAATACGGCAGGCTGGGGAGGGGGGAGCAGGGAATCCACTCGAGAAAACGCAAAGCCTCGACACCGGTAAAAATGGATACGTCGTCGCGCCCGGCGAACGAGGAGGAAAAAGGGACAGGGAAAGAGTGAGAGAGACAGAGGGATGTAAAAGTGAAATAAAGAAAAAGAAAAAAAGGGAGAGAGAAAAAGCGGTAAGGCAAGAATCGCGAGATGCAGTTTCCGCGAGGAGAAATGTGTCCGACATTGCGCATCGGTTCAAGGACACGGAGAGCTCTTGGCCGCGGGGCAGGTACAATAGTGTCGATCGCGGTGGCCGATTAGACCTAGGTGAACGCTTGAAAATCTCAGAATGGGATCGGACCGCGAAGGATTCCGGACGGACACTCCAGCCGGCTCGTATTGTCGAGGCGTTTCGGCCGTCTTTGTCCGCAGAGTAAACACACTGAGCTGCTTCTCGGACCGCAGCCTTGCCGCTGCTGTTGCTGCTCCAGACAGACCCGTCAAAGACTGGTACTCCTCGCACCAACCGAATACCAATTAGCCGTTGCTGCCGGCTCGAAGGCAGGTTGACCGTGCTAACGAGCGTGATGCGAGTCCTCTTAAACATTTCCTGGATTTTCGTTCGTTATTCGGACCACCTATCGTGAAAAGATCAGCCGAAAATCGGGCGTAAAACACGGGACACCGTATCGTGAATCTATTTAGGTCGCGGAAGAGACGCTCAGAGAAAGAATTGGAGGAGCTGTGGCAGCTGAAGTTGTACCTCGCAGCAAATGCAGCATATTAATGCTCTACTAACCAACTTTTCGCAATAATAGCGAAGTTCGGACTAGCTAATGAGCTTTAACTGCTATTACTAAGTCACTTTGAGCGTATGACTAATTATTGCATCGTGACGAATTTACGTTCGCCGTTCGATCTCGCGCCGCGGAAAAACGAACGATGACTCACGATAATTCTTTCTTCATTATCCTGCCGTCGCAAAAGAAACATCTCGTATTTACGGATGCTGTTTCCCACCGTATTGTTATTATTATTGCTGTTGTTTCGGCGAGCGACCGACAAATATCGGCCTATCGCTCGTCTCCGCCATTGGTCACCGCGCGTGTTGCTCGCATCAGATTTATTCGGCGGGGATACAACAGCGTGGTACGCAAGTGAGCAACAATCGGACCTGATAACAATCGCGTTCGATTGCCGTTCGAATGTTATCTACGCGCTGGATGTATTTATCATATCATAAAGAATATTAAGTTGATCGCGCGCGCTTCATTATATAATGTGTGCGGCGTGTATATGCATATTATTTAACGGGAGCAAATAACTCTCGCGAACCGTCCAATATTAGTAGATAATGCCGGCATACCGGATATATCAGTATAATTCTCGATATTTCAAAGTAATCGATGATATCTACTGATATTCCTCTCCCTTCGCTCCACCTTCCACCCTTCCCGCCGCCTCCTGTGACCGCACATGACTCCAATTAACGTCGAGAATATCTATATTATGATAATAATCCGGTTGAATAAAGATTATGTCCCTATTATAATTACGTCCGTGGTTTATTTAAAGGTTAACGTGTAATTGAAATTCTCGCTTATCAGTCGCAGTAGCGACGGTAATGTATAACGTGTACGTAGAATTAGATTGATATCCGTTTCTGTACGTTGATCAGGCGTCGCGAGAGATCAGAAGTAACACGGTTCTCACGTGAGACAGAATCGAGCATCAGTTAATCAACAGATACTCGATAACATATCTGGAGCTGGTACGATTCCGCAGCTTTCCGCTAGTTTTGCCTGCCGATCGTGACTTGCGTTCTCGCGCGGCTTATTTTTCCTCGTTCCGATTAAAACGACTGAAAACGGTGTTGCCGGGAAAAGGCGTCGGGAGAATAAACGAAGAACGTCGCAAAAAAGACTTTCGCATGAGCCAAGTGTGTACATTCGTCAATTTCGACTCGAGCGCGCTCGAGTTCCGGTGGGAATCAAGTTCGGCCGGAATTCCCAATATATGACCGATTAGCAAACCGGAGGAAAGCAGGCCGAAGGTAATACACCATTTCGGACGGTATCTTCCACCGTGATCCGAAATGGGCGCGTGCTCGCACTTTCGGCGTTG